TACATGCATCATTAAACTGGAAAATTTTTTATTGAGATCAATTAAGGTATCCAATATCTCTTTTTCACCTTCAGCTGTTTCAAACATTACTTTTGCCTGTGATGATGGTCTGGTAGTGACAGCAAGATAACTGCTAGCTGATAGTGGTGCACTTTTTTGTAAGTTTTCTTTAATTTCACGTACAAATATGCTGTTTTCTCTTGTCTTGTTCAGTGCATTAATCACATCAGCCCATGTTGCATTGGATGCTATATTTAACCATTTTGAGCACAATACTAACTTTCGTTCGTCAATTTTGACTAGTTCAGCTTCAATCTTTGAAATGTCAGAATAAGTAATTCCTGGTAAGCCAAGACCAAAAGGTTTCCAGTCAACAAGTGGATCAAGCCATTGAATTAATAATGAAATATCAGGTCGATCATCAATCATAGGACCAGGATTGAGTTCAACATCTCCTGATAAGAGGAGGAGCATACGTACACAAACAATCAAATAGAGATCATGGTAAATCAGGTTAGAACTGCTGCCTCCAGGTAAGACTACTGACTGGAGGTAATTTGTATCAGTAACAGTAACACCAGTAATACATTGTACTTGGCAGCAGTTACCTAATAATAAAATACCAGTAAATATACAAATACAAAGTTGCAATTGTTGTTTACCTGTTGGAGGAATCATCAAGATGTGTAGTTTTAATAAAGAGAGAGAGTGAAAGAGGAGGAGGAGGAAAGCAATAAGAGACAGAGCTGCTGGCAGTTTAGATGTCTTCTTTCCTGATGTAGTACTGCCTGACTTGCTGTCTACTGCAGCTTTGAATGAGTGAGAGTGGCGGCCATTAGCTGGTCTACTGGAGGCAGCTTGACAGTAGTTCCACAGTCCAATACTTGCTCGCCATTGAGAGACATCAATCATCTTGTACTATAGTATGGAGGACAATGAGAGAGTTAGGTAACTTAAGGTGTAGCTATTTCAGTGATCACTTACACCACAATATAGAAAGAAGGACTTTATAAAAGGAAAGTAAGAGAAAGCCTTTCTACCACAAATTTAGCACAAGTTTGACTAAAGAAACAAGCTTTTGCAAAACTGAGCAGGTTACATACATGTATATCAGCTAAGGATGGGTGTATCAGTGTATGTGTGTGGTATATAGCACCTCATGAAAATAGTTACTGGAACACACCAATAACACTGAATATCATTATGAACAATGATTATAATTTGTAGTGCTGTGCATGTGAGGATGTTATGCCCACAAACAGAATTTATTGCATACCAGTCAACTGTTACATGCATACATTATGATAAAGATGTTCTCAGTAGTTGAGTCACTTTCTCTCCTTTTAAAAAGACTAGATATATGTTAATGAGCAGGGAGGAGGCTGGCTAAGTGAGAATACTGCTAGTATGTATATATGGATCTAATATTCTTGAAAAAATAAGTTGCTATAGGTAATACTGAGCAATAATAACTACACAATGTCTGTATAAGCTTGAGAAAATAAAAATAATTTAAGTATATTTACAAATTGACTTTATTGGATAGAGCTATTCTTCAAGGAGTGGCTCTCGTAGTTGAGGATAATCTTGAGAATGATGAACAACAGGTTCTTTGTGATAACTGTGACAAAATG